CCCCCCCCCCCCCCCCCCCTACCACATAACAAATATAAACTAGCAGATTTAACAAACACAAAGAAACTATCACAACAGTTTGATTTAATAACTATGGCATGTAGTAATTAAATGATGCCCATCATAACAAGGCCATCAATACAGGAAAGACACAGTAATAGGCACAACAAGGAATAGAAGGCTCTCCAATTTTGCTTACATCCCCTTCTGATGCAAGACGCTTTAGCAAATTAAATGTTTGTTCATTCTCCTCCAAATTGTCAACCACAGCCAGCCAGATTATTGAAGCAAGCTCATGAGCCATGTCCCTCGACTTATCACAGGCAATAAACTGATCTGGAGAAGAAAGAAGATAGAACGAGATTATAGGGTTGAAGAGGAAAAGTTAAATAATAGGTTACTATCAAGGTGCTATTAGTGCAGAGATTGTTAAACACTAAATAGATCCATGCTCAGTATGGGGCTATGGGACCATATTGACACCTAAAATTTTAGGTGGCATCTACACAGAAAAAGAGTGATCAAACCTTAAAAAATCAAACATGCTCTTCTGGGTCTATACAAGTACATATTTAAATAAATGTCAACATTCCAAATATTCCTCAAGGATTGTGATAACAAAGCCACATCATTAGCTTTTTAAGCCCTAAGGTTGTGAACTGATACCAGATCTCACTGATAAGTCTCATGTATGTTGCAGAGCAGAACCACATTTTTTAAAAGCAAAACACTAGCCAGTAGTTTCATCAATTATCACAATGTAGTTTTAAACCTGGGGTTAAGGAAGGGAGAGGGAATGGGTAATAAGCATACAGTTTTAGAGTTTTAGCAGCCATATAGAGGTTAGGACAGTTCTACAGAAGATTTTTTTAAAAAGGTAAAGGTATACAGAGGAAGAGGAGGTCTATTTACTAGTTAACCTCTCCAGAGACGATAAAACAAGAATATGGTAGAGTGACCTCTTTTTGCCGCATTGTCATCTGAAGTTATTGAGAAATGGCCTCTATTATGGCATGATCTCTAGTCTCTCATTGTTTCTCTTTTCTTTCTCAAAGGTACATTATTTAATTCCCCACTTTTCCTTCACAAGCCAAAGACGGTGGTACAACTTCATTATCGGGCTAGTCATAGTGATCTACAAGGCACCCGATAAGCCGGTATTCTATGTATAGCAGCATCAATCAGTTAAAACCATAATGTTTCAAGTAAGTAGCTCCTCCTGGGCTCTGTGTACATAGTTTCTTCCAGTCTCACTAGTTCCACAACAATCTAGCACAATCATATATTTTTTTCCCACAAGAATCTAGCACAATCATATTGTTCTTCCAATTATCCCTTCTCTGCCTTCTATCCTTCAGTATTCATTTCTGGAAGGGTTTGTGGAACAGACTGAATGGTTGTAGTGGATCCTCCAAATTCCAAAGGTAGCATATTATACATTTGTTTGGTGTTTGTCAGGAGCTTATGTAAATTTTTTCATGGTTTTTAGTTCTACATACCCATCTTAGAGAGGACATCCAATGTTGTATCTCTTTCCCAACTCCCCACTCTTAAAAAGAGAAAATGAAGTCAAATGATATCAAGGAAAATATAAAATCTCGCATTAGAAAGTTTCGAGCTTAACAAAAAAGCGGCTTTAAGCCTCTACCAGCAGAGTCATTAATGGTTGGGCAGGTTTCCATGTCAAAACTCAAGGAAATCCAAAGAAACTTACCAAGACACACTTTAAAGAAACCAACCATCTGAAGTTGCTATGCCTATGCAACAATAAGCAAAAAGTCGGTTGAGGTTACGAAGTCACTTAACCATATACTATACAAACTACAAAGGGAAAGGCATCAATACAGAGTCACATCAGCTGTGTGTAAGGAACAGAGTCTTAAACTATGGACCAAGACTACAGTAAGGAACATAGAAAGTAGCTGCTTCAGCTTCAGCCACTCGAATTTTCGATATTCCTTTTTATTTCTCATCAAACAAATGGCATCTTCTTCTGAGAAGTCTAGTTACTCTTAGCATGGATTCCACTTCATAGGTACCGTTCACCTCACATGAAGGCTCGCTCAGAACACATACCAAGCTTTTATTAGAAAGGAACAAAACAAAGAGGAGTGCTCCACTCCCTAAGAGAAGGATCTACTTGAGTCTTGATTAGACTATAACAAGATTTCCTGCAATTATCAGCTATGGGCTCCACTCACTATTATATACAGAATCAAATAGCAGAGTAAATGCAGCTAGTTGGATCTTGCAACATTCTGTAAGTAACAAACACCATAGTCCTCATGGTGGTAAACGCACAGCCTCTCGCCAAAAGAAATAGGAATCTTTTGTATCTTCATTCTCCAATTACCTTTGCCCACCCTTTAGAATTAGTGGTGTAACCCACCATGTTTCAGAAACAATGTGTTTTGTACTTCAAAATTTTGATTGATATATTAACCTTTTATTGAGTCATGAAAAGTGAAAACCTGGAAAATTATGCCTAGTAGGGTTAGTACATAGTCCTGCCTGTTTGAACTAAAGACATTGGTGTATCTTCAAGGCCAACTCTTTTTGCTTTTATTCTTTAGCACAATGGTTCTTCATGTTTCCGTTGCCAGAAAAAGATTTTCTACCTAGTTCATCTTACCAAATATAACATTTTTGGCAATTACGTATTATGAATGAGAAATAAAACAACCGTGAACATTAATTTGTACATGGAATTGCTAAAACTTGAGGAAATAAGAAAGGCAGGCCAAGTTTGTCATACTGATCACATCTGAAGTATCTATTGGGATTTGATATTATATAAGAAACAACAAGAGAAAAGAGGAATAGCAGAAAGGCAGGCACCTATGATGGTTCCATGAAGTACTCCAGACAAAGGGGGCATTTTTGAAATTTCAAGCTGCTCTTTGAGAAATAAATAAACGTGACCAACAATCTCGTCATCCAAATTTTCACCAAGTGAAAAGATGTGTTTGCTGACATACAATGCAGTATATCTCCTGAAAATGTCATTCGTAATTCAAAGATTGATTTATCAAATTTACTTGAGAGTTCAGTGCACAGGTGTAGGTTTGAAGCTTAAATTGATCTTCTATATTGTGTTTTGGATATACATATAAAGGCAAAAAAGAGGTACCTTTTGGTCAAGCCTTGAGGAATAGGGCCTGGCCATGTGTTTCTGTTAAGGTGGGGAGGAGCAGCGAGAGGAAAAGTGGTGAGAAGAGCAGCATTCCAGAGCAAGTCTTGGCGAAAGAGATGAGCCCATTGCTTGTTAACACAAGAGAGAGTTCCCCAGTCAGAGATAGGGAGGCGAATGAAAATTTCAATAAGGAGATGATCTGGAAGCTTGGCAAAAGCAGAAGAGAGAGGGAGATGGTTATTTGACATGACCTGTTTGATTGATAGCTAATCAAACAAGGAACAAGCAACAACATACCCTCGATATATGCCCCTTTCCCCCCCCTTTCATTTTCGCTTTTTAACTTCTTTCACTCTACCGATGTTTCTACTTAATAATAATAGTATAAAAATACGGAGTAACTATTTACCGGAATCAATCGACTTTACATTTGGAGAGCTATATTTTCTTTCATCTTAAATAGAAAACGCCATATTTTATATAGTATTGTAGGTTTTGTTTGTTGGATTAGCTCAATTCCTTTTATTTATAGAGTCCCGGCCCAAAAAAATAATATACACTGGGTCAACTATACTACTCAGTCATATATATAGCCTATTCTTGAATATCAAAGCTAATCTACAATTCATAGTCATATCTCTCAATTAGATTGCCTCCTCGTTTCATTTTAGGACGCTGAAACAGAGTACCTACCGGCCACAAAATGCAGTTACGATATTGTCCAATAGAATGGACGTTTAGCCCTGTATACGCAGAAGAATTGTTATACATAGATTGGTTGTTGAAACGTACAGATAGATAGATGACCGTTTGGTTTACCTACAAAATTCAGAGCTCCATCTCTTTAAATGTTAACATCATCTATCTCACTCATGGGGATGGGGGAAGGAAGCTAGATAACTCAGAATGGTCACTGGTTATGCAAGTCCGTCGTCGTCGTCGTCACCCCCAACTCCCCGATCCCCACTTCCGGTGAGTGTCGGGCCTGCACATCACCATTACTATTTCTCTTCATCTCCTTCCCCACCATTCTCACCACCCTCTTCCCCTCCTCATCCAGACATCCTCGTCACCCCATTTTCACTACATCACCAACTCCAACTCCAACCTCATCATCATTATCATAGATGCTCCTCCTGCCTTTTACACTTGTAAGCAACCTCCTCTTACTTCTTTTTCCCCACCCACATTTACCATGTACTTTCCTTTAAAACCTAAAATTATTGTTTTTGCCTGCTCTGTCCCACACGCAGGTTGAGATGGTTCCTTCACAGATGCTGCACTTCTTTTTCAACCAGAAAAAGACTCACTACATGACAGAAACAGCACGAGTCAAATGGCTTTATAGGACGGACCCATGATCCTCAGTATATGCATTTTAAGAAACACCCTATGTTACTCTTTCATTTGGATCCCTTCTTATAGTCTCAAATTGAGACACCAACTAGAGCATATAAAAGAATCTGTAAAAAAAACGATGTGGAATAGCAAACAAATGCTGACGGCATCATCTTCTGATTTACATTTAGTACTGAATAATGTACAAGGCACGTAATTTTACAATCTTCTTTTAACAAATGTAATGTTCCAACAAAAATTTCCTGCAAGAATCTGGCCTTTGCATACTTTTTTCAAGATCAAACAAAGTTAGGAAATGTTGAGGTTTGGTATACATATCCTCTTCCTTCTAATCTTAGACACTTCACTGTTGGCCTTGTGGTCTTTGTTGCTGAAAGGAAGGGTGGGTCTGAGGTGCGTTCTGAAGAGGCATCATACCCTGCTGCAGATTCTGTGTATTTTGTGACATGTTTCCAAATGTGCCATGCTGCTGCTGTTGTTGGATTGACATCATACCAGGATTGTTTCCTCCCATATTGAACACTGCAGAGAAAGCACCATCTCTGTTTAGGAACAAATGTTTTGCAACTAGAAACAAGACCCACTTTTATTTGGTTTACGACATTCTCTCTTCGGGCTAAGAAATGAAGAAAAATCCTTATGGACAGAACTATATAAAAGACAAGTAGAGGGAGGTGCTTTTACTTTGATCACTCAGGTTTGCAGCAGCAAGATTCCGAGTTCCACCAGATATTCCAAACTGAAAGCAGTCATATGAGGCCATAAAACAATTGACAACATAGTATAAATGAAACATGCAAAATTAGGTTATTCCCATGCAAATGACTTTCGAAAAAAACAGAATTTCATATTGGACGTAAAAATGTCCTTGAACATGTGGACATACACGCTTAAACATAATTAGTAAACTTCAAGAAATGTAAGTTGAACCAAATTCCTTGGTTACTAATTATGTTTAAGCGTGTATGTCCACATGTTCAAGGACCACATGTAAGTTGTGTCCGCATGTTCACACATATAGCTATAGCCTCCCATCAATTTAAACCAAATTCACAGTCAAGACAAATCTCAAAACAGAAAATATTTGATGTGTAAAATGCCAATAAAATAGAAAATTTCAATCAACCGTCAAACAGAACAAAATGAACTCCCTCCCTTTGAAGCTAAATAAAGACATCGGATCACTCTCTCCACTCCAGAGAAGGCGAGTTCACCTTGTCGTGAATTATAATTATTGACCAAATAATAACTCCAGCATGCATGACAACAACAATAGGAAATACAATTTGACACACCTGCATTCGTGGCAGAAGAGTTTGTGATGGCATCATTGCTGACATATTTGAGATCTGCCATATAGAATAAGTTTAACATAATTCAAAGCAGACTGGACATTTGGAATTTTAAGTTCAAGAAAAGAATGCTCGATAAATTTAGAAATTATGATGCGCATATTTCAATGGCAGAACAAGTAATAAGGAAATTTGTAAATATAGCATATAATAAAACAATAAACAGCTAATAATCAAAAGATATAATGAAGCTTGACACAGAAAAGACCAGATATGCTTTATTTTAGCTTAGGGTCTATCGGAAACAGTCTCTCTACCTTCCCAAGGTAAGGGTAAGACTGCTTACACACCACCCTCTCCAGACCCCACTTATGGGTTTACACTAGGTTATGTTGTTGTTGACACAGAAACGGCCATTTTTGTGACCAGATGAGCATTGCATTAACATGTAAACCAAGGTAGTTATATCTATGTCATAAGGGAGGACTACATACACAGCACGCCAAGTGATCTATGACTTCATATCTTGTGCTATACAACATTGAGTACCTTCAGGGGAAAATAAACTAATTGACAAACTATGAGTTGGAACCAAATAGAGATGAAAAATTTCTAGAACTTTTGGTTCTAACTGGTTCAGTACATACAATGCAATAAACATTTAGTTAGAACCATCAGCTTCAAAGATCCCAGAAATCTTCAGTATGTGAAATATCAGTTCAATGCATGTGATAAACAACTTGCATTCTTCAGATGTGACTTGCCACGGTAAGAAAACCAGAATATACCAAATTAATTTATAGAGGCAGAAAACAGCAGAACCAGAGATTTTGAACTTAAAATTCTCGGGCAAAATGAGTAAGTCATTGTGGATAGGCTGAAATGAAGAAGGAAATAACATAAAAACTGAAATATTTGACTCACCATCTGAGAGCTAGGTGTGCTTTGGGCAGAATTGAATAGTGCAGTATTCATAGGACTAGAAAACTGGTTTAAATGTCGATTCAGCTGATTTCCTTGGTTGAGCTGACTTTGACCCATACCGTGATGAAGGGCACCAGATGGTAGCTGCCTACCTTGAAACTGCTGTGCTCCCAGTGGCTGAGAGAACTGCATCTGAGGCTGACCATGCAGCTAATAAACAGGTTTATTGGTCACCGTTTGATAAAAGCAGGTTCATTAGTTATTACTTACTCTCCAATAAATGAACAACAGAAACTAATATATTATACACCAAATAAAATAATAATTATGTTCATGTTTGAAGAAGTCATTCATGGTAAGGTAAGCATATTGAAAGTGCTGAAAATCAATATTTATTTATTTTGATAACTGTAACGTTGTATTAATATCAGCATAAAGGCTGTGCTGCAGCCATATTTACAATTCAGAAAATCAACTCTTTTATCTTACAAGGTATCAATTATGTCAAGTAAAGATTCTGTGTCATCTACAAAGCTTTTGCAACACCAAAAATGAAACCCAAAATAGTAGCAGAAAATCAATAATTGTCCTCATTTTGTTTAAAAGATTAATAAGTTCTTACTCTTTGGAAAATATGTGTAATCCTGGAGTAAACAATCATCTAGGTAAGAAAATAAACTAACAGTGCCCTTTGAAAAGAATTTGAATTAGATATTTATGCATGGTGTATATACAAACAGCCAGTGTACATGTGTTACTAACTAATCTGAGCTTCTTCCTCCTCATGAATTGTCTAAATGCTAAATAAGGACAGATGAACCATAACAAGTTTAAAGAGATCAGTGCAAGCAGTGCACTTTTTGCTCTTCAATGAATGGGGAAATGGTCCCAATTTTCTTTTTTAATTGGTAAAATGGACTTAATTCTCCCTGGTAGATGGAGAAATGAGATAAAACTCCTTCCTATTGGAGAAGTTGGGAATCCTGTAGGTTGATCAGGTGCTTGGCTCTAAAATTAGTAACCTGTCCTCACATACTAGGGTTTACCATTAAGAATATCAAAACAGTGCCAACATGTGGAATTCATACAAGGTATCCAATTTATGAATCTAATTTCTTTGTTATTTTATGTTAGTCTATGACTGTAAAAAGAACACAAAATAGGCTAAGCATTCGCTTCAGATAAAAGAAACCCAGAATCCTCTTTAGATGAATGATCAAAAGAACCACTTTCGGTAAACAATATTATTTGGATTTTGAGATGCAAATACTCCGTTATTGTCAAAACAACGAATATTTCAAAAAAAAAAAATCACTGATTACCCATAGTTAGCAATAAAGTATTTTGAATGGAAGACATCACAAAGATCAAAAAAAATATCAGTGGAGACATACCTGTCAAAAGGTGGCAGATTAGTTCTTTTTCTTTCCAAACTTAATAAGTAACTTTCCAACTTATCTACTTTCCAAGGTACCTACTTATTCTATGTTCTCATTAGAATTGCATATATTGAGCAGCTGCAGAGGGGGGGGCATTCCATGGTAAGACCATCTCCAATCCACCTCTATTTTACTCTCCATTCTCTATATTTGGAGAGTAAAATAGAGAATAGGCACTCCAACCCACCTCCAAATCACCCTCGATTCTTCAAATTTAGAGAGTTGAATAGTAGTTCTCCAAATTTGGAGAACTACTATTCACACTCTCTATTTCACTTTTTCATTATTTTATTATTATTTCTATTACTTTCTAATTAACATATTATT